CAACGACACCACACTGCTCATAGACAAAATCATATATATTTTCTTTCACAGAACCTGTCGGATGGCCTTGTATTTTTAAATGTTGGCAAACATAACGTAATCTCCGATAGGGCATTACTTTGTATGTAATATGTACAAGCCCAATAATAGATATTATACCAACATATAAAAGCCAAAACCAAAGAAATAAGAATATAAAACTGTTTAGTTTGTTCAGAGGAACTACACATTGTACGATACTTTTGTCAATGTCATCTCCTAGAAAGATGGTAAGTGAAGAAACTGATGTAGTCTTCCCAAGTAGCAAGATAGTGAGCAGATTATTAATAACGATTATCAATATTAGATGTGAGACCCTTCAACTTAGAGTTGCGAGCGTTTTAGATGACCTTCTCATGAGGAAATAAAGGGCTACAGTGTCTTCTTAACTCTCTTGTTTGATTTTTGAAAAGAATTATCAAAATTTTTGTTATTGGATTTTATCTTATAGTTTAACCCATCTGATTTTCTAAATTTAAAATTACATAATATTGTCATCGGAAAACGATTGTCTAATTCAGTGCTTTCACCTTTAATAATGTCTTGAATAAATCGCGTTCCATAAACAAAGAATTCGGTATTTAGAATGCGACCAAGAAGATAATACTGCGCGAATGTATTTACGATGTACATAAGCTTGACATATATATATCCAAATGTAAGTAAACAACCAAAGTTCCATGAACAGTTAACTTTTACCTTTTTGTAAATTTCATCATTGTAATCACGACTGTACAGTAGTGATGACCAGAATTGTTTAGCTAACTCATGAATATGTTGCTCTCGAATTTCGTCAACCGTTTGTTCCAAAGTTATAATAAGTCGTGTATGTAAAAAATTAATGTTAAATCCACTTGTAGCCAATAAGACACGCCAGAAAAGCTTGGGAAACTGAAGCACAATATCATTGTCAATATAGCTAATGGCATATATTGATAATTTGGACTGAAAGAAGAGTATAAATGGAAAATTTCGTTGTGTAAACGAGCATAGAAACACTTACGTTTTTGAGGATAGATTGTCGTTTAACAGCGATTCTGTTAACAGTTTGAAATATGTCTGATGCGCCCAACAGTAGACATTTATGTGTTCAATCATTGTTACTAGATGATCGGCTGCTGTACATAGAATGGAATGTCCAACATATTGTCCTGTTGTAAGAATAATAAGGCAGACCATTAACATTGAAAATGATGTCTTTCGACTTAAACGATCATAATGATCATCTTGATAGTCATCATTTGTATTACTTCTCCATAGGTCGAGTAGAAAATAATACATAATAAGGACTAAAAATATGTGAATTAATTAGGACACAAGCGAGCATTCATTTACTAACATATGAAAGATGTATTACAGATTTCTGTACAACTCTAATGATAGTGGATGTCTATACTTTGCAGATGATGTAAAGAATATATGCTGAATCATCTGTGGCTATTATATACTTTTTGAACATAATGGATGAGAAGTTGTGATATTTTTAGTGTGGTTACTGCTTATTGAAATTAACTTGAGCACTAATTAATGCTAAATTTACTCTTTATAATCGCTTAGAAAAGGCAGGCGTGAAGAGGTGGCTGCGCTATGTTGACGATGCGTTTGTGCTGTTAGCACCGGATGCATCGGTTGAAGATATCGTTGAAATTCTAAATACATTTCATCGTAGTATCGGTTCACTTGTGAACAAGAGGAGAACGGCTATATACCATTCTTGGATGTTAAGGTTACACGATCCTTGGATAGTAATCAATTTCAGACAAGCTCCACCGGAAAAGGACCTTTAGTGGATTAATGACTAAATGGTCTTCATGTGTTCCACATAGTTTTAAAAAATCGGCGATTGTGAGTATGAATCAAAGATCACTTGCAATCTGTTCCACTTATAAATTATTGGATGCGGAAGCGTCTTGCTATGCTAAACGAATATCCGAAAACGTTTATTAATACACATATCGGTATAGGACTTAGTAAATGGTTAGAGAAAAGTAATTGTAAGAGTAAGATTACCTCTAAAACACCTGACATTGAAAACAAAAAGCATATTTATGTTGAGCTTCCATATGTCGAAGGACAGACGGATGTACTCAAAACAGGGCTACGTCATTTTGCTAACAGAATACGTCCAGAGTTGGACCTCAGCCAGAATTGGACATGAAGCTAAGTAATACCCATATCTATACGGAGGAAAAGATCTTAATATCATAGGAATGTAAATCGTCAATAGTCAAACACAAAGTCGATAGTGGACATGCTATAGACTGGACAAACTTTGGACTTGTCTGGCAAGACCGAAATCCTTATTGTCTGCTGCTAAAAGAGTCGCTTGTTATTCAGGTTTATAAACCTGAATTAAACTGTACTACGCACACTGTACCTTTCATAGTTTTTCCAGAGGGCCTTCCTAAGAAGTTCGGTCCTGATCCTTTTAAGGGAGATAAAAAAGCGAATAGATAGTACTATATATCTTGATCTAATTTCATGTCTTCATTTCTATGTTTTGTTACATTTTAACGTTTAGTTTACTGTCTTATATTTTTCGTTCTGTATCTTCTAAGGTTATCTTGGATGAAAAAGTAATTTAAAGAATGAGAAATTCGAATGTTTTCAACATTTTTCTCTGCATGCATCATAACTAGTAAATCTAACCAGCTAGTGACACGTTTATGTTTTTATTCTTGAAAATGAACTTTTAAAGTTCGAAACGTTGAAAAAAAGAAAAATTTTTCGTTTTAATTTAATTATATATATTTCAATAAAATGAAGATTACTGCTGTTACTTTATTATGCGTATTAAAATTTTTGCCCATTCGTAAAGAAAATGTAGAGCAACGAAGCATTTCCGAGTAGTAGAAAGGCCAAATTTACTGGCATTTCAAAGAGAGAGTACCACTGAAGGTGCTGCTGAACATTATAAAATGTTGAAACAGCTGGAAGATGAATTTCACAATAATTTCCACGATTGCGCGTTAAGAACAACAACTTTACCAGATTTTTTTATGAAAACAAATCAAACCTCCCTTAAAAAGTCTGTGTTTGATATGGAGTTTTACCATGAAATAGACACAACAGTCATTAACTGGATGCCAAATACGGTTTAGTTATTTCCTATCGATGTAAGAATAACATGAAGAGCGGCAGTTTCATAAGGATTTTTCACGCATCGTTTGTTTTCGTAACTTTTAGCTGACGGAAATTGTTTGATGCATGCAACTCTGATAAGTATGACTGAAATGCAAGATCTTAATTTGGACTTGCGGAACCAGTTGTCGGTTTTCATGAAAAATAACAAAGAAACTCGAGATTATTGGGTATTCGAACGTTGACAAGAAGCTGCGATAAACAACTACACTATAGATGATAAAGAGCTGGAAGAAGTATGAAGTATTTCTAGTTTTGTAGGCTGCTTTTGTACTAGTGTTAGAATATTAATTTCTATTGCAATCTCACACTGTATATCAGCATTACTCTTTTTTTTTCTCACGAATATGCATGTCCTTTATTGCAGTATAATGAGAGGAATGGGAGCTATGAAAATCTTCGAATACGTTTTTGTAAGGATGCAGAAAAGGAATGAAGAAATTTGGTATCAAAATATCTTAATTGTAAAAGTATGTCGTATAATGGACTTAGAAATATTCCCCGGTCAATGCCTTGTTATGTTTTGGGTGAATTGAACATAGAGCCTGAATTGAATTATTTTTTAATATATATCAGTTATTTGCAAAAACATATAACATATGGTAGATTCAAAATATGGTCAGACATCGAATTACCAATGGAGCAGACTGATATCCCAAGGCAACTGTTTAGTAATATAACTAATGATCCTAAAAGATCTTCGTTCTTGGGTAGTATGTTTAACATTTACATTGAGTATCTTAATACTTCTGCATCAAGAAGGCAGAAAACTCACTGGTCGATGAGCGCTCTTCTGGTTCTCGACTTGTCAGAAGATATCAGAATGTTCTCAGACGCCATTGTATTTGCAGGAAAAAATGACATAGGCTTTAAAGTGTTAATTAAATAATTTCTATACTTTAAGGAAACCATATAACACACAGTGATATGAGTATAACGACCACATTCTCTGAAATCAATGAGCAAAACGGGAGAGACAGTAATTGGCTATTTAGACAAGATTCTTTTGGGAAACGAAAGAGTACGTCATGAACAGAAATGCGTTTGATGAACTATCTTAAAGCTATTCCCATGTTAGATATAATGACTTCTGATTTCAATATATCGCCAAAATATTTGAAGTTACAGCAAATGCAAGGTAATATATCGTTTACTTTTGTAATATGAGCTATATAACACATTACTTTTCAGCTAGTACAAAATTACAGTTAGATCGGAAGTGTGTGTCCGACGCAATAAAAATTGGTAAAGAAAACATATCAACGTTCGACGGTAAGTTTGAGAAAAGTAAAATAGCGAAACGAAACTTTATTTTCAGAGTGATGTTAAAGCAATAAAAATGAGAAAACGGAACTCCACACGCCGTTTATAAACAAAACATTTTCCAAAATGATTGCATTTAGTTGGCAACGACATTTGTTTATTGTTCACGCTTGTTGACTTTCAAATTTTTTTAATAATCTTGCTAATGAAGCTCAACGTCAAAATCTTAGTACGACAAGTATGGCGATTAGCAAGAATGACGTTTGTGAATTAACTTGCTATGTTCCACCCAGAAAAACAATACAACAAGAGTCACCTGATGAAACAAGCAGTGAAGGTATCGTTTATACTGATCACGGAAAATATTCGTCTATTATTATAACTTTGAAATCTGAAGATTAATCTCTTTGATTTTTCCAATTACTGTTCATTGTTTTCGTTTATATGTTCAAGGTGAATGATGACTCGGCGAAATCAAGCCGAGAAAAATCCAAGACGTGCACAAACAACACCAGCATGATAAATACGTAATAGAAAATCAGCAAACCACTGCTAGCATGCCGATACAGGATAGAAGTATGGCATGAGATATCTTTTCTCTGATTGTACAAGCACATAATCTAATTTAGAATATGAATCAGACTCAGATACTGAATCAGATGCTGATGAAAGGCCAACAGTTCGAATAATTAAGAATAGAAATAAATCTGCTACAACGAATACGAATATTGAACATAATTATTCAACAGAACGAAAGAAGTCTGCGCAGTTAACTGTGGCCGCTGTTTCAGAATTACGGGGAGTCGATGTTCTTCGTACTTTCAAGAAAAGTGTTCAACAAGTAACTGACCCCATTCATCTACTAATCGATGATTTTAGCGAGCTCTAGAAACGTCAACTAAAACAGTCATCAAATGCGACACATCCACAGTCTTCAGTAATTCATCATCAAACTGAGTCAGATGATGAACAGCCATCAGCACCAACCAGTTTACCCAAAAAAACGGGATTTTACCGTATCAGAGATGATAGTGGGATATGTCAAAGATTGCGTTAACCCATATTGTACTCTAGTATGCAACGAAAATGATGTTTATGATGTTCGGTGTTTTAGCCCTCGAAAATCGAGGGCTAAAACACTGAAAATCGTATTAAGATATACCGGGCATTGTTCAATGAAGTTAGCGGGGTGTCCTTTTGAATATGAGGTGATTGTACGATCAAATGATACAATGTAAATGTAATGAAATTCTGCGAACTGACTTCTAAAAAGGAGCCAACCCTACTTTAGTGTTTCACGAACGATTATTGAAAATAAAACCAGAAGCATTAAAAGCTGGGAATCTAGATGGTATTAGAAAAAGTGTACATATATATCACAAGATTGTGTCGTCGATCATCGATCACTGGTAAATTGCAAGCCATTACCAATCTCTCAACACTCAGAAAAGAATACGAACGAAAAATCATGCCAAATACACCAGTTTCGGGAATAATTCAGTTTATTTCATACGAGCCATACTATATTATATGCATAAATTCGGTAGCTCTCTCGTTCCGGAAACGATATGTTAGTGAAGAGGATGCGGAGATTACATGGGACGCCACAGGAGGAATAATTCAGTGCAAAGCAACACGAAAGAAGGTATTTTATTATGGAATGACTGCTGCGAATCCGGTCAAACGTGCCACATCCATTTCACTCACTTTTTTATTATCGGAAAACCATGATCTAACGACAGTCAAACATTGGATCGAGCTTTAAAGCATTATACAAAAAACAGGTTGCACAAAGCAATGAAGCACCGTTTCCAGTTCCGAGATATATCATCAATGATCGTGCCCAAGTGTTTATGCAGACTGCTTTGCGAGTGTTTAACAATGAAACGTTTACGAATTTTAATCAGCGAGCATATAGAATCATCACAGGTTTGTGAGATACAATCAATACCGCATATTTTTGTTTTTTGATGATAGTTCTTCTTTACCATTGGCGATCTGTATCTTGTCAGCATATAGTATCGATTAACTAAATGTTAGAACATCATAGCTGTAAGAAATAAAAGAAATAGATAGCATATAGATAGGATATAGCATCGAAAGATTTATGTACGGAGACACTTACAATACAAAAACAAGCGGGTACGCAGATTGCTCACGTAATGGAATTTCCAACCGTTCGCGGAATCGAAGAACGTTGGTCGCAAAGGAAATATGGATTTTATCAGAAGTACACGGCGGCTGCTGATAAAACATTATCCATATCGTTGGATGAAGTTAAATTCTATTGTGACTCGAAAAAAATTATTATATGGGAAAATAAAAATAAAAAACATTCGTTAGAAAATAGTTTATTTCAAGCTGTAACATATGTACAAGATTCAAGCTAACATGACTAATATGAATTCGGTTGCTTTAACTGAACCACATGAATTCACAATAACCGTGGATTCGAGTCATCGATTAACCATCAGTATCAATACGCAACTATCCCACAATTATAATTTGTCGGACATAATCGGATACAATTAGAAGGTGGCAGCTTCTTATTAGATTATGACCAAGACACAATCAAAACCATTTTTACACATTTTTGGTAGACGTTGTTTTCTTGTTTTGTTTTTGAGGTGAGCGGGACGCTTCATCTAGTACCGTGGGAGGTGTGTTAGGAGGTGTTAAGTAATAGTTCTTTTCTTACGCGAGATACTTTACTGTATTCGATTTTGTTCATATCACATGTTATGATATGATCACGTATGTAGATCATATGTTTATTCTTCTTTCTTATTCTTCTGACGTCATGTTATGTCCTGTTCTACTGACGTCATTAGTCCGGTCAGTAGTAAATGACATATTCTTTCCTATTCTTCTTTGTATGTCATGACCTAACGACGTCATGTTCTGACCAGTTCTTCTGACATCATTAGATCCTTTTCTAATCCTTTCTCGGATTTTCGATGATATGTATATATAGCTGTATTTTTGTGAATGTGATAGATAGTAATTTGTTACTGAATAAAATGAACAAGTTAGAGAACTAATCGCGATAGTTTTTTATTACATAACAATGGTCCGTAAATATTGATAAAGGGCGACCGATCTCGATGAAATGCTATCCAGGGCACATCGGTTCGCGTCAATATGTGTGTTATAGGTGCTATTTTTTTTCTCACGAGGAAAGATCCCCGACTGATTCACGCCGTTTTGGTTGATATTTTGCCCACATATAGGGGATATCATTCTAAGAAAAAGCCTGAGAGGATTTATGTTGATGCGGCTTCTTTCAACAGTTATGAATTTTTTAAGATTGGCCACTGGAGATCCTAATTCATCATTGTTTACTTTCTAAAACTCGTCCACATGTATGTTGACAAGTCAAAATCTTTTTAAACACTTATTCGTATAGAGAAAAGTATTCTCTTCAAAATGAGACGTTGCCGAGCTCTGTGCAATATCCTTATCAAAAGTCATAAGCATTTTTCTAAGAGCACCTAAAACACTGTTTTTTTCCTTTTCTTTCATTCCTCTACATCGATTCTTGCCTTGTAGTATTGCGTAATTCCAAGATTTCTCCGCTATTTTAAGTACTAGAAATCTCAGGTTGGTCCTAAGATGTACCCAACACTTTTTTCTAAGGCATAACAGCACCCGATTTTCGATCTTCGTAACCTGAGATTTCTAGCACTTAAAATAGCGGAGAAATCTTGGAATTACGCAATACTACAAGGCAAGAATCGATGTAG